ACTTGATTCACTCTTTGACTTACTCTTCTCAACGATGTACCATGTCTTCTTTATGACCAATCTTTGGATAATTCCTTAAATAGCACCTTGGTCATCACATAAACTCCTTGAAACCAACAAATGGACTTCAAGGAATGCATATGGACAAATCCTATGAATATAACTCAAGGCAACCATTAGTCCATAAAGAATGTCATCAATTACCAAAACCACACATGGGGGCACGTTGCTCTTTCAATCTCCCCCATTTTGATAATTGATGACAATTACTTTCATGATAGTTTATATAAGGAATTATACACAACCATGCAAAGAAACAACCAATAATACATGAGAATGAGATGCAAATGCTTTAGAACAAATCCAAAGAATGCAATAAAACTCTCGAAACTTCTCCCCCATTGGCACCGAATGCCAAAATGTGCGAAAAACTCAGAAGGCCAACATAATATATGTTCCTCCATAAAGTGTGTATTTCTCAAAATATGAGTGCGATGAAATACACATATCCAATGATAAGTAGTTGGAGGAAGACAAACTATATTGAGGATCCAAAGATTGCAAATAGGATGATATGGCACAAAGACAACCCAAAGAATGAAGCAAGCAATCAAAAGATACCAATTGAAACAAGCAATCAAAAGATCCTACGAGCCACATGACTAAAAGATATTATGATATGGGCAAAGGAATGTTCTAAAGAAGCTAGAGAAGCTCCCCATGATTTGTGCACTATTTAGAATTATTGTATCTGGATATTGTACTACTATATGTCTTGCATGGTAATAAATATGTATTTCCATTTCTGTGCCCCTAGTTCTCTAGTTGTGCTCAGTTTTATCCAAGCCAAATAACTTTGCTCACTTTTCCCATCCCCACTCCACCACCTACTCATAGAAGGCCAAACGGAGCATTTCCGTTGGATCAAGCCCGTTGACCGTTAGATGGACGAGTTCATGACGAGTGGGACCATTAAAAATGATGATATGTGGGGCTACTTAAAATGTTGACATGTCAACGTACCCTTGCTAAAAAACAAACCCACTCCTCTCTCCGAATATCCATTTTTTAGCCCAGGTTCATCTGCACCCGGTGAGGAGAAAATTCAAACAAAATATTAAACAAATTCAAAAAAATCATTTTTTTTGCACGGAAGAAAATTTAGTGCGTGAGATGCGCTCCAAATTTCATATCATTTGGACACATGAGTTGCTCTCGGCAAAAAACATAAATTCGGCTAGAAAAATACATGAACAATAAACTTTTTCACAAACTACAAATTTGTGTTTTCTGCCTAAAGCTACTTGCATGTCCAAATAATTTGAAATTTAGAGCACACCTCATGCACCAAATTATCTTTCATGCGAAAAATTGGAACTTTTTGAATTTTTCTATTATTTTTTGTGAATTTTCTTCTCATCACGGGTGCAGCTGAGCTTGGGCACCAAATCACCTCGTCAGACTCCAAATTTGTCTTTTTTACCGAGAGATAATCATATGTCTAAATGATTTGAAATTAGGAGTGCACCTCACACACCAAATTATCTTCCATGCAAAAAAGATTGGAATGTTTTGAATTACTCTACTAGTTTTTTTAATTTTCTACTCATCGCGGGTGCAGTTGAGCTTGGGCACCAAATCACCTTGTCCTCTTATCTCTCTATTACATGTGGGACCAATAGATCAAAGGGAAATACGAAGAAAAAATCTCCCTAGATCTCTGGCCATGTCGGCGGCCACTAGACATGGCAGAGGTGGCTCCGTGGCTGGAGGTAGCCCGCAGACTCACGCATCAAGGATGCCCTCCTCGCTCTTCCCTCTCGCCCATGCTCTCATGCTCCCTCTCCCTATCTACTATCTCCTCTCGGTGGAACCCTAGCGCTGGCTTGGTCAGAGTTGCGCGCTCGTCTCCGACCACCCTGACGAATTAAGAGCACCTCCGAGACTGTTGCACCATCCTCTTCCATTCCTGTGAGTCATATGTGCTTTGATGTAGTGTAACAACCAAATCGATCGCTTTGTCCCCGACTCTGGCGACGCAATCTAAAATAAGATTAAAATTGAAAATTTGCCAATTTCACATGAAATGGACCATGTCCATGTCATATTTCCATTGATTACATGAATTTCATGACATTTAAAGAAAATAATTCAAAATTGTACTACAAGTGTGTTATAGTTTGGTCCAAGCAATTGGTAAAAATCATTTTCAAATAATCAAGTAGGAATGTATGTAGTATCCTAAAAATAGTATAAAGATTCAGAGAGCGGTGATTCGGTGGCCAGGCTCATCTGCACCCACGTTGAAGAAAAAATACAAAACAAATATTAGAAAATTTCAAAATATTCCCTTTTTTGAATGGTAGATAATTTTTTGCGTGAGGCCCGCTCCAAATTTCATATCATTTGGACATCTGAGTAGCTCTCGGCAAAAAAAAGACAAATTTGGGTTATGTAAAAAATACCGCTCATGTACTGATTTGACCCAATTTGTCTTTTTTGTTGAGAGACACTCATATGTACAAATGATCTGAGATTTGGAGAGCACCTGGCGCATAAAATTATCTAGAATACAAAAAACTTGGAAAATTTTGTTTTTTTGGACTTTTTATGAATTTTTTCTTGACCGAGTGCAGATGAGCGTGGGTCAGAAATGGATATTTGAAAGATCCAACACCTTTGCTATAAATAGCTAAATATAAAATGAATTAGAAACTTGAATCAACTGAACTAGATTTAAAATTAATATTTTATCAATTTCTTAAGTTGATTGGAAATTCAAAAAGGTATTCAACATTGTTCGCACTTGAAACCCGCACAGAGAAGGCCACCCAATTACTTAAAGCCCGCACCGAGCAGTGCCAAGGTGTTCAGGTGGGCCCACTTGTCGGGCTCTCATCTAAGGCCCACTCGCCAGGAACCCACCCAGGTAATGGTCAATAAGTTTGACCCAGCGGAAATGCTTTGTCTGGGCATTTGAGAGGCCATGGCCAAGGGAGGAGGGGGAAAGTGAGGAGCGTTAAGGTGGCGGGGCAAAACTGAGTAGTGCTAAGGAACCAGGAGCACGGAAATATAAATCCCTAATAAATAAGGTCATCTAAGATACTAACATATGATACTATGCATACAGAGATAGTATCATACAACAGTATCATATACATGATACTAACTTATGATACTACACACTACGGGTAGCATAAATATATTCATGTTACTTGTAGGAAATCTATTACTCCTAGAGGGGGCATCTTCTATCAAAGGTTTAGGATTTTATTAATCCAATGCCGAACTTTTGAAATGAAGATATGTCGAGGCAGACGTTGTGGCCAATTGATGCTCAGCGAGTCCTTGTGACTCCTATTTCTCCGCATAATATGTTGGATTTTATTACTTAGAGCTATACGAAAAATGGGTTGTTCATTATCCGTTCAACTTATTTCGCGGGTTGGGATCAACAAAGTGGGAGGAAATTGCTACATACTAATGGTGTGGGATTAGTCAACGTTAATCTTATTTGTTGTCAGATTTGGAATTTATCTTGTCCGGCAAAGGTTGCAAATATATTTGGCGTATGTTGCATGACACACTCTCTCGTGTCATGTTATGCTTGCCAATAGACACTTGAAAGTTTTGCCCATTTTCCCCTCTTGTTCTGATGGGCCAGAAAATAGAAAGCACGTGTTGTTTCTTTGTCAAAAAGCAAAAGAGGTTTGAAATAGGATGGGGATGGACGAAGTGATTACCGAAGCTTGTGTAATTGACCATGCAGGAGAGGTTGTTCTTGAACTCTTACTCCTTATGCCAAACCAGGATCTATCTATATCGGGTCTTCAGAATGCTCGTGAATTGATCGCTATAACCGCTTGGTACTTATGGTGGGGAAGACGAAAGTTGGTTCAAGAAGGAAAGTCTCAAGATGCTTATCAGACTTCTCTGGGGATTCGTGCTATAATGACAAACTATGTTAATGCCTGCTCCCCTAATGCAACCAGTAAAAGAGGGGGTGGATTAGACCTCCTATGGGTTTTGTAAGGCTTAATGATGATGTGCCTTTTGATTATGACCTGCTTAGGGATATAGTAGGTGTTGTACTCAGAGATGATAAAGTAAAATTCATTGGCAAAAAATAGACGATTGATTGGTGTGCTGATGTCCTAACGACAAAAAAGTTTTGGCTCTTAGATTCGGCTTATCTCTTGCACAAAAGGTGAGATGCAACCGCCTTATTATTAATTATAAATATATGAAGGTCATCAATACCATGAAGAGTAGAGGATGTTCTGCGGGAGCGGCGGCGGCAGCTTTTGATGATTGTTATTTTTTGGCATGTGAAACTCCTCTTGGAACCGGCTATATGTAAGTTGCATGAAATTTATTTTGGGTTAGTCGATTTTCTGAACCATTAGATTAGAAATCTAACGGTTGATCTACTTCTAGTTTTTTTCTCTCCTTCAATTGTTCACCCTCTTACAAAGTTGACTTACCCAAATTATAAATTCAGTCAAACTTACATATAAGTATAGTGTTTCCTCTTACTAGTTTTGAGGAAGCGAATAAGGCAACTAGTTTTCCTTCAACGAAGGACTGGTTTGAGGAGTCTCTTCTTATAGATGATGTAATTGTTATTTCAAATTAATAAAGTTGTTATTTTCATACAAACGAAAAAAAGCGACTCATTCTTTAGGAGGCTAAATTTAGTAATTTATCAGCTGAAGAAATCGGGCAGGAAATTATCCGAATTCCTGGGCTCCAAAACTTGTGAAATGCCGCTAAAGAAAACTTGTGAAATGAGCTGTAAAAAAGAACTGGTGAAAGGCAGCAGTTTGCGGGCCGAGGCCCCACCCCGGATGTCGTAACGGTCTCAACGGCTTTCTCGCTTCCCGCCACTCTCTCGTCGCCTCTCACTCCCCTCCCCTCCACATACACATTCCCTCCCTTCTCCTCTTGCAATTCTCTCCACCACGGTCTCGCCGTGCCGCCACAGCCTCCAGCAAGAGCCTATGAGAGATAGCGACGGCGAAGGGGCCGGCGGCGGAGTCCCGCGCTCGCACCCCTCCAACATCCCTCTGCCGATGTCGCACTCCGACCCCAACTACTCGGGCACGGACGACGAATGCTCCAACAGGCAGAGCAGCTCGTCGGCGACGGGCGGCGGGTTCTACAATGACTACCCGTCCAGCTTCAGCGGCGAGTGCTCGCCGTACAACATGTCCCCCTGGAACCAGACCATGGCGTCCCCCTGGTCCCACCACAGCGAGGCGTCCATGGCCGCGCCCGCGATGGCGCCCGGCACCAGCCTCATCAGCTCGCTCGTCAGGGAGGAAGGCCACATCTACTCTCTCGCCGCCAAGGGCGACGCGCTGTACACCGGCTCCGACAGCAAGAACATCCGCGTCTGGCGCAAGCAGAAGGACTCCGGCGGCTTCAAGTCGTCCAGCGGCCTCGTGAAGGCCATCGTCATCTCCGGCGAGCGCATCTTCACGGGCCACCAGGACGGCAAGATCCGGGTGTGGAAGGTGTCGCCCAAGAACGGCCTGCACAAGCGCGTGGGCAGCCTGCCGCGGCTGCGCGACTTCCTGCGCGGCTCTCTCAACCCGTCCAACTACGTCGAGGTGCGCAAGAACCGCTCGGCGCTCTGGATCCGGCACAGCGACGCCGTGTCGTGCCTGAGCCCCACGGACGCCGGGCAGGGGCTGCTCTACTCCGGCTCCTGGGACCGCACCTTCAAGGTGTGGCGCATCAGCGACTCCAAGTGCCTCGAGTCCGTGGTGGCGCACGACGACAACGTCAACGCCATCGTGGCGGCGTACGACGGGCTGGTGTTCACCGGCTCCGCGGACGGCACGGTCAAGGTGTGGAAGCGGGAGGTGCAGGGGAAGGGGACCAAGCACTCGCCCGTGCAGACGCTGCTGAAGCAGGAGCACGCCGTGAACGCGCTCGCCGTGAGCGCCGTGGCGCCGGTGCTCTACTGCGGCTCCTCCGACGGGCTCGTCAACTGCTGGGAGGGCGACAGCAAGCTCGTCCACGGGGGCGTGCTTCGCGGGCACAAGAAGGCCGTCTTCTGCCTCGCCGCGGTGGGAGCGCTCCTCTTCAGCGGCTCCGCCGACAACACCATCATGGTCTGGCGGCGCGACGCCGGCGTGCACTCCTGCCTCTCGGTGCTCTCCGGCCACACCGAGCCCATCAGGTGCCTCGCCGTCGTGGAGTACAACAAGGAGAACGTCGCGGCCGCCGCCGCAGAGACCGGAGACAACAGCGGCGTGGGACGGTGGATCGTCTACAGCGGCAGCCTCGACAAGTCGATCAAGGTGTGGCGCGTGACCGACGAGCCGGCGGACACGCTGCTCGGGGGCTCCGTCGGCGAGGGGTCGCAGATGTTCGACCGGTACCAGGGCGACCCGTTCGGGGCAAGCAGCTCGACATCGTTCCGCTAAGGTCGTCGACACGTACGCGCCAACGGAACGCACAAGTTTTGAACATCTTGACGGATTAACCAAAGGAGTTTCTGGATTTTGTTCATATATATACTGTTGAAGACGATCGGTGAGAATTGAACGGCACGAAAACATCATGCCCGGGCATATATATACATCTGGAGTTGTGATATAGTGATGGATCTAGGTAAGTTTGCTGCCTTTCAGAGCATCAGGGCCAAGGGACATTTTGGCGCATGCTTATACTCCCTCCGTTCCGAATTATTTGTCTTGAATTTGTCTAGATACGGATGTATCTAGACTCATTTTAGTGCTAGATACCTCCGTATCTAGACAAATCTAAGACAAGTAATTTGGAATGGAGGGAGTATATTTGTTGTGTAATAGTTGAATTTAACTTGATTTTATGTTCTATATGGGAAAATCAATAAATGACCAATTAATTAAATTCTAACTTTTGTGGATCTTTTCTTTTTAGATGATCTTATTTTGTTTGTAACTGTGACCAAAAATTACATTTCCTGTGCTTATCTTCTGTCTTGTTTCATACTAACTGTGAACGGTTTGTCGAATTGAACCAAACTGGTTTTCTGAAGAAAAAAAAACAGATTGGGCTTAGACGCGTCCTATTTCTACTCACTCTTTCATGCTTTTCTAATGATACTAAATACATAAAAAAAACAAAGTTTTAAAAGAAAAGCATCATGTTTGCTATTTGCAAGTTGCCTAAAAGTACAACTTGCATCAGTCGATTTAGGAAGAGGAGAAGATGGTGATGCGCAGCCAAAGGAGGAGACAGGGGTAGCGCGGCCGACCATGACGTCCCAGCAACGCCGAGCCGGGAGTGATCCGGAGTGGGAGGACCGAAGCAGCTGGTTGTCACCTGCGAAGGGGATCGGAGGTTGACGGAGCGGAATGCTCGCCCACGCTAGAGAGGAGGTTGTGATTAGAGAGATGGTTGGGGGAGGCAGTGGTTGGCAGTTCGGCTAATGTCGTTGGACGGCTCAAAGGGAGGAGGTAGGAGAAGATGAAAATCCGCAGGTGCGATTTTAGTTTTTCATCGGCAATTGTCAACTGTCAAATAGAGCTCCTTACACCGACGATCTACGATCACGATCTACGTACTGCTATTTGATAACACGACGTTTAGCTTGTAATTACACCGACCTGTAGTTGGCATTGTAGGCGAAGGTGCTCCAGCCGGCGGCGCTGCCGCCCCACTTGAGCACGCGGCCATCGGAGACGCCGGTGTAGACCCCATCCTTGCCGGAGAAGGCGAGGCTCTCGGCGCCGCTGACGCCGTCGGGCAGCGGGAGGCGGTAGCTCCACCGTGTGTTCGTCGTCTTGATCTGCTCGGCCGAGGCTAGAGAGACGAAGCAGGCAAGCACGACCAGTACTATCGCCGCGAGGTTGCGCCGCATCGTCATCGTCATCGTCGGAAGTTGCCCTGTACGGAATATCGTTGCACGCACCTCCATGCTTTTTATGGGAGAGCGACGAAACCCACCCGTGGCCACGTTTGGTGATCGGATCGGACACGGTCGTGATCCTACACGAACTACAACACCGTGATGTATCGCCCCCGCGCGCTTGTGGTGCGTGCTCACCGAGTCTGTTTGTGGTCCTGTGCTGTGTTTGGACTTTGGAGTCGAACCCGGTGAACCTGTCTGCGGACCAATTGGGCCTGAAGGCCCAGAACGAAGTACAAGATGGGCCTGTATTATTGTTCATGTCTTTTATATTGCGGCCCAACGTGGAACCTTGGGCCGTTTTTCGAAACGAACAAGAGTTGAGTTCAATCTCTATTTTTCCGACAAAAGGTAATATATTAGACTATTAGTAATATCAAGACAATATCAAGTACTGGCTATAAGGAGGAAAACCAGAAGTTGAGGAAAGTTAAAATTATACACAGAGGGAAGGAGAAGGAGCGGGAGGGTGACCAGAGAAGAGAGAAGTTGCTGGGGCAGAAGAGAAGCCATGTGGAAGGAGATGGGGGTGTAATGGTGGATGCAAAAAAGGGGAGGACGCAGGAGGAGGTGCCTATAGGGAGTCCGGAAGGAAAAGTGGAGGCAAGCAACAAAACTAAAAGTACGTCGGTCGGGTTGTCCGAGCAACCCCACCGGTAACAATGAAAATCATCAATTGGAACTACCCGGGGCTCGGGAATGGCCCGACAGTTCGTTCTCTCCTCGAACTGGGGAGAGTGGAGGATCCCGACGTACTATTTTTGGCAGAGACAAGGCTAACAGAGAAGGAATTCGAGAGATTTCGCTGGATGTTAGGGCTCGCTAATACAGTGGCGGAGCTAGGAATAAAGCAAACCCCGGGCCTAATTTTTTTTCTCGGCAACATGGAAAAACTTTGGCCTTAAAACTAACTCATACAATTTTGAAAAAAATACCTGATGTGAAAGCATACAGAAAAAGTTCACTTTATCAATAAATCTACAATTTAAACTTGATGCTCAATGATCCAAGAAAATAGATAAAAATGGGACAGAAGTACAAATAGTAATATGGGAATACAAAAAAAGATACCAAGTCAATTGAATAGTTCGTTAGTGCATCCCATAACTTGATCGATGGTAGAAGAACCAACACCTTCAAGGCATTTTAAAATATATAATTTCGTAAAAAATCATAAACATCAATTGAAACAATTATCATTGAAACAAATCAAAATACTTACCACTTTGACGTGATAAAAGCCCTTCGCGAGACCTATATGATTGAAAACGATATAGAATATCATCATCATCAATACTTGGAATTCAACTTCCAGACACCCTTGTTGCGGGCACCTATGAAAAAATATCTCTTCATCTTCCATTTCTACAACATAAATGGAATCGCAAATACATCAATTTGAGTTCGACAATACGTCAGTTTGAGTTCAACAACACACAGTACAATACTGAGATTGCAATGGGCTTTCCTTCTTCCTCCATGACTAAGTACACATTTTTTTTCAATTAAATTTAGTTCAGTGCAGTTCATACACAGAGGTTACTATGTTAAATTGTAAAACACGGTACAAGTAGAAACTACAAAGAATCAAAGAAATTTATCAAGGTTAGGCAGGGCAAGAGAAGAAAGGGACGACGCGCCGTAACGAACGGCGCACACAGGGGCGGCGCTGGGCCGTCGGGGAGGGACCGGGGTAGCAGGGGCCTGCCTAGAGAAGTGGACGGCGGTGGCCAGTGTATGCCGGACGGCGACGACGCCACAGCGACCGACGGACCGAGCAGGGAGGTGGGTAGGCGGCGGCTCGATCGCTGGAGACGGGCGAGTTAGGTCGTGCACTCGTGTAGCCGGTTTGCGGTCGTGGGCTAATGGCTGGTACGTGTGTGTAGTCCGTGCGTGCGCTGCTGCCTGGATCGCTCACTTCGGGCCTCCTTTCACTTGCTGTACCCCGGGCCCAAAACAAATTCTATATACATCAAGCTGGGTAAATTCCCACGCCCCGGGCCTGGGCCCTGGGTGCCCAGGGCCCAGCTCCGTCCCTGCGCTAATATGTCAGCTTGGAATCCGGTGGGGAGGAGTAGAGGGGTAGCGATGTTTTGGAAAAGTGGTATTGATGTTTCACTCCGGTCATATGGTAGCCAACATGTGGATGTCGATGTTACGGAAGAAGATGGTTCGATATGGCGACTAACAGGGGTTTATGGAGAGTCAACTACTGAGAGGAAAAAAGAAACACGGAGGACCCTCAGAATACTAAAACAGCAACACCAACGAGGCCGACCATGGCTATGTCTAGGGGACTTTAACGAGATCCTCTCGGGTATGGAGAAAGTAGGAGGGGTCGATCGGTGCCAATACATGATGGATGGGTTCCGAGAGGCGCTGGAATTTTGTGAGCTTGCTGATCTGGGGTTTGAGGGAGATATATTTACTTGGATAAATCCTAGGAAGGAGTTGCGTTCATACATTTGTGAGAGGCTGGATAGGGCAACAGCAAATGAGAAGTGGTGTGACAAGTTCCCAGAGTATACTGTTGTGAATGGCGCGCCAATACATTGGGATCACTGACCCATTATCGTTTGGACTGAGGGGGTGGATAGAAGTTGGAAGGGAGGTGACCGGGTTTTCCGGTTTGAAGCAAGATGGCTACATGAGGAGGGGTGTGACGAGGTGATTAGGGAGGCTTGGGAGAACAGCTGGACTGGGAGAGAGAGTGGGGTAGCGCATGCTTTGAGAGGGGTGGCGGAAAAAAATGAGAGTATGGGATAAGGAGGTGGTCGGAGCAGTAGAAGGGAGGCTAAAAAAAGCTAAGGCTGACTTGGAGAAGTGCATGACTGCCACGGTGACACAAGGAAAAATTGATGAAGAAGTTGAGCTTAGGTGTTTGGTGCATGAGTTGGAAGAAAAGAAAAATACTATGTGGAAGCAAAAAGTGGATGTGTGGTGGTTGTTAGATGGAGATAGGAATACTCGCTTCTTTCATTTAGTAGCTGATACATCTCCAACGTATCTATAATTTTTGATTGCCCCATGCTATATTATCTACTGTTTTGGGCAATATTGGGCTTTATTTTCCACTTTTATATTATTTTTGGGACTAACCTATTAACCGGAGGCCCAGCCCAGATTTGTTGTTTTATGCCTATTTCAGTGTTTCGAAGAAAAGGAATATCAGACGGAGTCGAAACGGAACGAAATCAACTAGAGAAGTTATTTTTGGAAGGAAACACACCTGATGGACTTGGACCCCACGTCAAGGAAGGAACAAGGTGCTCACGAGGGTGGGGGGCGCCCCCCCTAGGGCGCGCCCCCCTGTCTCGTGGGGCCCTCGTGGCTCCCCTGACGTACCTCCTGCACCCATATATACCTACGTGACCTAAAACTTCCACAACGCACAATAGATCGGGAGTTCCGCCGCCAGAAGCCTCCGTAGCCACTAAAAACCAATCTAGACCCGTTCCGGCACCCTGCCGGAGGGGGCAATCCTTCTCCGGTGACCATCTTCATCATCCCGGTGCTCTCCATGACGAGGAG